GTCCCTGCTGTTGGAGATAAGCTGAGCTCTCTGTTGAGGGCAGTGAGGCATTTGCCCAGCTCCAAGCAGGAAGGCTTCAAGTCCCCTCTCCCCTACAACAACTGGAGACAAGCCTTATTCACATGTCTCCCACCTCTGGCACCACTGAGGGTCTGGAAAGTTGCTCACCTACATGGACTACCCAGGGCAGTGGTCCAGCCCTGCCTCCCTCCTACCTGCCACTGCCCCTGCCATCCTTACTCTCTCCACAGGGCATAGGTGTAGTGCCTGGGAGCCTCACCTGGGAAGACTTCGTATTTATAGGGCAGACAGCCCAGGCTTCATGACCTCATGATGTAGAGAGAAGTAAGGAAGGACTCCTTTCCCCACCTGTGCTTCAGGAACCCAGCATGCCCCTGATCTGACTGCCCTGGTGGTCTTGGTAGAGTTAAGAGGATTGTGGGTAGTCTTATCTTCTACCTCAAACCCCAGGTACCCAGGCATAGAAAAATCTCAAGTTACTGTGTTCTTAGAAAGACAGAGCCATGATTTGGGACCATAATTTGGAATTTTTTAAAAAAATTGAATTTTAGCTATCTCAGAATAATTTGGAGTTTTAACTAAGAATATAAATATGTTCACTCATTTAGACTTCATTAGTCAACTTCAAGACGTTGAATTTTTCAACTTGTTTGCCATGATGCATTATATGTGTTGGAAGGAAGAGCCACTAGTAGTGACAGAATCATATGATATACATGGTCTCCCCTTCTCACCAATAGCAAAAGACAGGCAGACAAGTCGGCTAGTTAATGCAGGTGGGGCCATGTTTTAAACAGTCTCTAAGGAGGTTGTCTGGTATGAATTAGCTATAAGCTATTCTATAAAAATAGCTACAAGCTTTAAAAACCTAGCAGCGAATTGAGTGAAAGTGATTTTAGGTGAGAGCAGCAGCAGCAGCAAGCAACGTGAGAGATGACTGCGTGGGAAACCCCGGGACAGTTTGCATTGTGCCCCCAGAAAGAGCACAACTGTTTTCCACCCTGACCTCCAAACATGGCCTTTGCACATTTCTTCTCTTTTTCTTCTAGGTGAAACGAGAGTTAGCAGGTGTTCTCATTTTTGAGTCTCATGCCAAAGGAGGAACCGTGTGTAAGTGAAAGCTGTACTGGAAGCTTCCACCTGGCCAGCACCCTTGCAAGCACATGCCACAGAAGCCAGGCTGTTATCCCTCCGCTTCTTGGCACCGGGACTGATTTGGTGACTTGGCAGGGTGTCCTGTGGCACTTCTGTTTTTCTGGACCTGTGATTATTTCCAGCACATGTCAATTACTCTGAAGTATCGTGGTTTTCTACTACGAGAAACTATAGTGGGTCCCAGCCTGAGTCTCACTCACTCCCTCCCCTCCTGACTCACCACAGTGTCTAAAGAGGGTGGGATGAAGTCGCTGCTTTTCAGGAAGGACCTGAGGCAGTACCTTTCCCAGCGACCTCATTCAGTTTATAGCTTTAGAAGAACTCATCTATCTCTTGAGGTTGCTAGTTAGAATGACGTTCAAACCATCCTACTTTCTTTTTCTTCTCTCACTTCCACTGTAGGCTCCAAGCTGGAGAGAATTTCTTTGCTTCAAACACATATCCAGTGTTAATATATCGTATCTCACCAAAATCCAAGGTGTAGTTTAGTTCTGTGATTATATTTGGAAGCAAGGAAAGGAAATTTGATGTGAATAGATGTGAACAATATTTTGTAAACTGGCATTTCTTACTACCTCTACAAAAATCTGGCTTGAAAAAACAGGGTTAGTGGTCTACTAAGGTCAGGAAATGCAGTCACAGGACAGCAGCAAGCTAATGTGTTCTCAGAAGTTCTCCATTGAGGAGAAAGGTTCACCGTGTTTAAACTGATACTTCCTGAGCCTAATGGCACATAGAACACTTTTTACATGGACACGTGTTAACTCTTTAGAGACGCAGTTTGCAAAATCTTGCTCTTTCTTCAGACTGTGTTGTATGAGTCAAATAAGCAGGAAACATGAACTATAAAAGTGTTTTTTTTTTACTTTCAGTCATCAACTGTGATATTTATGACATTGATATCTATTTTGGTAAGAATGTAACTTCTTCAAATGTTAAAGTCTCACTTTCATATTTTTTTCTTAATGTTTGCTAATGACTTATTCTTTTTTATTCTTTTATTTTCATTCAAACTTGCTAATTGTTTTCATTTTTATAAAATAGTTAAATATTTTAAACAGAAAAATACAGAATATTACAAATACCTTCTTAATCTTTGTCAGATACTAACATTATGCCATATTTTTTCATATATATATATATATATATATATAATTTTTTTTTTACTCTTTCACCCAGGCTGGAGTGCAGTGGCACAATCTCAGCTCACTAACACCTCTGCCTTTCAGGTTTAAGCAATTATCCTACCTCAGCCTCCTAAGTAACTGGGATTACAAGCTTGTGCCACCATGCCCAACTAATTTTTATTTTTATTTTTGTATTTTAGTAGAGACAGGGTTTCCCCTTGTTGGCCAGGCTGGTCTCAAAGTCCTGAGTTCAAGTGATCCATTCGCCGTGACCCCCCAAACTGCTGGGATTACATGTGTGAGCCACTATACCTGGCCTTTTCTCATATTTTCTAAAGAAATAAATTATACACACTGGATGCAGTGGCTCATGCCTGTAATCCCAATACTTTATGCAGCCAAGGTAGGTGGATTGCTTGAGCCCAGGAGTTTGACACCAGCCTGGAAAACATGGCGAAATTCTGTCCATAAAAATTAGCAAGGCTGTGTGGTACATGCCTATAGTCCCAGCTGCTCTGGAGGCTGAGGTGTAAGGATCTCTTAAGCCCAGGAGGTCAAGGCTGCAGTGAGCCATGATCACACCACTGTACTCCATCCTGGGTGACAGAGGGAGACTCTGCCTCAAAAAATGAATAAATGAATTATACAATTACACTTGAAGACCGTTTGTAGCCTCCACTATCCCACTCTCATCTTTCCTAGCCCAAGGTACCTCCTACCCTGAATGTAGTGGTTATCATTCCAACCCATTAAAAAAAAACAGTCAGTCCTCTACATCTGTGTGTTCCACATTTATGGATTCAACTCGTGGAAGATCAAAAATATTCCAAAAAAGAAAATGGATGGTTGTGTCTCTACTGAACGTGTACAGACTTTTTTCTTGTTATTATTCCCTAAAAAATACAGTGTAACAGCTAATTACACAGCATTCACATTGTCTTAGGCATTATAAGTAATCTAGAAATGATCTAGAAATGAGTTAAAATATACAAGAGGCTGTGCATAGATTATATGCAGATATACCACTTTATGTCATGGACTTGAGCATCTGTGGATTTTGGTGTCCTTGGAAGGTCCTGGCACCAATTCCCCATGGATACCAAGGGATAAGTGTGCGTAGGTATGTAAATAATATGTAGTGCTGATTTGCATGTTTTCAAATGTGACATTGCTTGTCAGATTACTTTTTAGAACCATTTTTCTATGGTATAAGTTTTAATGAATTGTGGGAGAAATGTGTATGACTTTAAGAAATGGATTGCTGATAAACTGGTATCTACTAAAAACCTATCTTTTAGGGCATAGCAAGGAACACAGTGTTTCTTTTTCTTTCATGTTCTATAGAAAAGGAGCTAATATGCCACCTGAACAAGTTAGTATTTGCCAGTGATGTTTCTCGTATTTTACATATGCGTTATTCTGGGGACTTAAAGTGACGATTTGATAAGCTGTAATTTATATTGATGTGCTGCTATTCTTATCGTAAGTCTTTTCATCTTTTTGTGTCTAGTGTTTAACCAGGGAGAAGAAGGTACCTCCTGGTACATTATTCTAAAAGGATCAGTGAATGTAGTCATTTATGGCAAGGTATATATATCTTTTTCTTTTTGAAACTTTATTATGCTCCATTTATTAGTGTGTTTCTAAGTATTAGCAATGTAGTGCCACCATTAAATTTGCAACAACATTGTTCCTAGATGTGGAAAAGACATTATTGCATCTTTAATCATAAATTATCTCAGTTATTACACATAAAGTAGTATTGTACTTTCTGGGATTGTCTCCTTATGGATTATAGTGTGTACATTTAAGCCACAGACTATATTACTCAATGAAAGAAAAGCGAACATCATAATTTAATTCATTAATTTAGTGAATTAATCCCCTTTGGCATTCCTAGGTACAGCCCATTTATTGACAGTGTTTTAGGGGCTGGGGGTCTTGTGGCAGGAGGCGGTGGGTGTTGGCTCTGTTTCAGGCATCCCCTTCATCTGCATGTTCTACTCTATCCAGGGTGTGGTCTGCACCCTGCATGAAGGAGATGACTTCGGCAAGTTAGCGCTAGTGAATGATGCCCCGAGAGCTGCCTCTATCGTCTTGCGAGAAGATAATTGCCATTTCTTAAGAGTAGACAAGGAGGATTTCAACCGGATCCTGAGGGTGAGTTCAAAGCAAATTGTGGCTGAGAGACATCCCATTTTTCCTTTGAATAAGCAAAGCTTTGAACATAGTCTTCATTGAGTAGTCCTGTGATGAATAATTGCTCTAGGCACAAAGAGCCTTTGTTACGAACCTGGTTATAGTTAATATGTTGGCAGGCATCCTGAGATCCAAAGGTGATATTCCTTTGGATCTCAGTAAAGCTGCAAACGTAGCATGCTGTGCTGAACCCTGTCCCTCTACACATGCCTGCACTGGTCCGTGAGAATTGACAACAAATAGGAATTGCCTTGGCAAAATGTCAGCCTGAGAAGTTTCTCTCTGACACCCTGGGCATCCTTGTTTGTGTCCTTCCCATCCCACTCCCCAACACAGTGGCAGCCCCTTCTGTCCCATGTCTTTCTCTTTTCTAGACCTTCCTAGTTTCTACCTCCTTCTCCTCCCAAATCTGAGCCTGTCTCGTATCATCACACATTCTTTAATTTGTTGAGTAATTACATTTTACTGGGAATTAACATCCATCATGGTTACTCCAACCGAGCTTTTTCCTTTTCAAGAGCTTTATCTCAAATTGTTACAAACTAAAGGAATTTCTGACATTGGCAGGTAGGTGAATATCCAGGGTGGTGGAGGGAACTGTGCAATTTCACTTAAAAGTTAACTCTGTAGATGGGCCTACTCTAAGCTTATTAAGGAATTTGTGAGAGTAGATGATGTTTAAAAGAAATGGTCTCTGGTATTTCCCCAGCATGTGGTCCCTTGTCCCTGGAAAGGATGACCCAGCTTCGGCTGGTAGAGGACTGATCATGGACTTTTAGGGACGATGATGCTGTCCCACCACCCATGGCTTCTCAGGTGGCCTGTGGTCCTTCCCACCCTAGCCTGAGTTCACTGGGGAGGCCGTTCTCTCTAGGATCACACTGCCCTCTTTCTCTCACTGCTGACTCACAGAGTAGGCTCCTTTCTGTCACTCTTGCAGCCGTAGCATCTCTATCCGTTCCTTAAGTTCTAAATGTAGCTTTTGTGCTTTGGGGATATTCCCATTACTTAATGATCATTTACAACATCATGCTTCGGTCCTTGCTTCTGGACATCAATCCCTACATGACCTTAAGCATTTACCTTTGTTGGCAAAATTTCTGACAACGACGATTGTCTTAGGAATGCATGATCTTAATGATTAAAAAAAAAAAAAGGTTAAAATGTATAACTTTGAATGATATAAAAAATACCAGATGGAATTTGAGTTGGTTCTTATCTGATCTCTTTTTAAATGGGGGCCAAATATTGAGGGAAAGCATGTTAAAATGTTTAAATTAACTATTTACAATGATATTGAAATTTAAAGGTAAACTTTACTATTTCAAGTTTACACACAAGGAGTTTACACTCAGCCAAAACATTCTTTGAAAGAATCAGATTAGAACCATTATCATTGATGTAATTTATAAAATCACTTAAAATAGGCCAGGCACGGTGGCTCACACTTGTAATCCCAGCACTTTGGGAAGCTGAGGTGGGTGGATCACCTGAGGTCAGGAGTTCAAGACCAACCTAGCCAACATTGTAAAAACCCATCTCTACAAGAAATACAAAAATTAGCCAGGCATGGTGGCGCTTGCTGGTAATCCCAGCTACTTGGGAGGCTGAGGCGGGAAAATCACTTGAACTCAGAAGGCGGAGGTTGCAGTGCGCCAAGACTGCGCCACTGCACTCCAGCCTGGGCAACAAAGTGAGACTTCATCTCAAAAAATATCTTTAAATAACTGAAAAGAATTTTTAACACATTTCAAACTGATTTTTTTTTTTAAAAAACAGTCTTTTGATTAGAGAGAAGAGGTGCCCCACTCCTAAGGAAACTAAATACACTTAGAAGAAAAAGGACATTGCTGAAGCTGCTTGCTGTTTACCACATATTTTTATAAATAATAAATGCCTTTGCTCCCACCTTCCTGCTCTGCTTCCTTCTCTCAAAGGTTTCTCAGAGCATTATCACACTATGCTTTAATCTGCTGTTTTTCTGAAGCTGGGGTAAAAGCAGTTTTAAAAACGCATGCCTCAAACCTCATCTGGTCCTCTCTCTGACCGTTCCAGCCCTTGACTTTGAAAATGACTTCATTTGTAGACACAACAATTAGCATGACAAGCACTAAATGAGTTTCTGAAGCATTTGAAATTTTTTTCATTGTCTGAGTAAACGGCAGCATCTGTATGTGGTGTAATTTGTATTTGCAGGACGTGGAGGCGAATACAGTCAGACTTAAAGAACATGACCAAGATGTCTTGGTGCTGGAGAAGGTCCCAGCAGGGAACAGAGCTTCTAATCAAGGAAACTCACAGCCTCAGCAAAAGTATGTTTGCATCCAACACTGTAATTGCCAGACTATGATTAACCTTTTCACATGGTATCATCATTGCTACAATAGCATGTTCTCCTTTTTTGTAGAAGATGGCAGTGTATGTGACTTTTTTCCTCTCTATTGACTAATCACACATCTTGTGGAGGATAATGTATCCATTTCTGGCACAGCATTGAGCTTGGTGCTGCCTAGAGTAATTCTGGAGAGAATATTCCTTTACTATAAAAGCCACTCTTTGTATACAGTGTTCAACTGTAATAGCTGTGGAACAGAAGGCGTGTGAGAGAACAATGGGAATAGCAATGCCAGGCAGCTCAAAGGATACGAAGGCCCCTGGGTGATGAGAACTTTTGGGATTTGAATTTCGTATGCAGGATTTCGCGTGAAGTGTTTTCCTCTTGTTATCAGAATGAGCATCTTTGATGGAAACCCAGACTTCAAATATAAAACAGTCTATTAATTGCAACCCAGACACATCCATTTAGCCTCATTCATACTAATTCCTGCTAATGTCAAAAGGGCATTAGCTTCACATTTTTCAGATGTCCTGTTTAACTTGAGTCTTTTTCAGCATATCCATGTTCAGTTCCAGCTTTTGCTGTAACTTACTATATAAGACTTCATCAAATGTACCAACATTTAATGGTAAGACAGAATAGAAAATGTGGCTCTAAGAAATCACAGAAAATTGCAGAATCTAGTTTTTAAAATGGAGATTGTTTCAGTCTTAGTGTAATCAAAACACCAATTCTGTAGTTAAAGAAGTGTCACCCAATAATATTTTGAAGGAGAATACAACTCAAGTAATTTCCTTTGTTTGCCAATTAAGTGGGGTGTTCCCTTTATCAAGACACTCACCATAAATGATTAATTTTAATTGTTTAGACTAAAAGCCTGAGGCTCAGACATTTTCATTTGGGTGAATCAATGTATTTGCAAAGAGGGCAGGAGAAATATAATATTATTAAATAGCCATAGTATATTTTGCAGATTTTATAGAATTCTTATCACATTACAACACCTTTTAAAATATGGAGAAATTCAGGCTCAGAGCAACAAGCTACTTGCCCAAGGTCTCAAAGCTTGTAATGGCAAAGCTTGGATTCAAGTCCAGCTTGACCAGTTTTTACATGCCTATCCCCCTTCCACCTGCCAGCTTACTATAGCAAAATATAGTAGGTAAAACTACATATGCAACACTGTTCAGTACATATTGCAAACCACCCCACATCAAAAGAGCCAAGTCAAAAAGACTATGTAAAAAACTACCTTTTACTTACAAAACTATAAAATTACCATAGAAATTTTCTTATAATTTATTGTTTACTACTGTCTGTTCTTGAAAATGTTCTTGCTCAAATGTTTTTACCAGTTGCCCTTCCACCCCACTAAGGAGGATGAGAATGAAAACATTTTTTTAATGTGAAGGTTGCTGCTTCTAGTGATTTTCTTTGGTTATCTTAAATAACTAGTGTTTTATCTGCATTTTAAACTAATGCTTCAGATGTCCCAGGAAACTGTGCTTACTGAAAAGGCAAGCCTTGGGAATTCTCCTTAACCTAGAAACATCTGATCAAGAGGTTCCCTGGGGTCCCCTTGCTTCACTTCTTCATGTCATTGGGGAATGATCAAAAGCATTTGCTTGTTACAATGACTTTCATTCGGGGTGTTCTCCAAATATAGGTTTCTTATGAAATCAAACTTTAGGCCTGCTCTGATTTTCCATTATATCTCCTTATTTGTGTCCTGTATTCCAATCCAAATTTCTTCTGTAATTCAAAAACTTATGCATGTTCACAGTGAGCCATTTGAGAAATATCAATGAGTACAAATTAATGCACCACACAAGATCATCTCATTGAAGAATGAAAAGCTGCTCTCTCAAGGGGTCGTTTTCCATGCTGAACCTTCCCAAATGAGACCGGAGCTGAAGGGGAGGGGACATGTAAATAAATCTGGGGCTGATATTCCGGATTTCAATAATGTGGCATCGACCATGTCTGTAGCTGGACTTAAAATTTAGGAAGCTCTAGGGCCTCTCCTCAGAAATCATCCTTTTTGAGTTCAAAGATGGTCACCATGTTGGTACTGCCTGTTATTTTTCTGATTCACTTTTTCCCTGAGAAATCCAGAATCGTTTATATGTACATTTTTAACTTTCAAAACCTCCTAACTCTACCTAAGCATCTCAACTCTGAGTATGATATTAAAGAGGTCAATAATAAGACAACATTTGACATGAAGGATAAATGCCATGGAGCGCGCAGTCATCTACTGTTTCAGATGCCTTTCTGCTCTGTGGTTATGTGGGTTTAGTAAGAAATAATTTGAAATGCATTTTCCTGTTTTAGTTACTGTGTTGCTTTCATCTTAGACTGTTTTCTCATTTCTCAAGTCCATCCTGTATGCCGGAAGATAGTCTCTTTCAGGTCCCCTTCCCCACACCCCTTTATATTCTAGGAGCAGATTGTAGTGTCCTCATTTGCAGAAAAATATTTTATGTCAGAGGTTTAAAACCTCATAGCTTATACAATGTAACCAATTGGAGTTTGCTTTTAACTTGGACTAGAGCTGCTCTTTCATGAAATAAACTGAAAAGAGCCATGTTTTGTGGTCTTCAAGTGGTCCTGACCTCATTTTAAACAGAGGTCAAGCCGTAGGTGCCTGGCAGTGGACAGGGGGAACTGAAGGCATCACGTGATGATTCAGCCAAACCCAGAACCCCGAGAGCCCAGAGGACTATGTCTGGCTGGAAGCTCTTGACCCCTGTCTCTTGGAGTTCCCTGCCCTAAGGGAATGTCAGCACCTAACAGCCTTCTATGGAGCTATGAAGAGAGGTTCCAGTAAGGCAGTCATGGCAACTACACCACGAAAGGCAGTCTTTGGTAGCAAAAGAAAGATCCTGGGGGTCTCCAATTGGGCAAGAGGGCAGACCTTAGAGAGGCCACTTTCTCTCTAGAGAGATGATCAGGCACCTGGCTTTCAACAAAGATCTCTATTACTTTGGCCAGCGAGGATGCCCTAGCTAAAGGATGTCCAAACAAAGAATACCAGGTTGTGAGGCCAATCTTCTAGTAGAATTAAACTTTTGACAAGGGGACACATTTTACGAACTGACGTATGAGTCATGTGGCTAGCTATAGAGCTTGCGACTTCCCAGCAGCCTCTTCCCGGTGCCCTGCAAACTAACGGACTGGTTTTCCCCCATTCAGTTTTCATGTTATGCAATGTATGCATACTCCTCCTGAAATAAAACTTGTTTTCAGAAACAAAAGAACAAGCCCTCTTTAGAGAAAGGTTGTTAATCACATGGAGAATTTCCTGTTCTGGAAGAAGCACCAGGTAGCTAGACCTGGTCTCCCTCTGGAGCATCTTGCTCTACAAGCAGAAAAGTGCCATGAAACTCATGCTTGTTCTCTGAAGCCAGACACACCTGGCTCTTGTCAGAGATCTCCCACTTACCAACTCTGTGACCCAAGGCATGATGCCTCCCCCTCCTGAGCGGTCTCTGCATCTGCAGAATGAAGATAATATTTAACTAGCAGGAGTAAACAGTGCCCACCTAGCTGTCTAGGGCATAGTAAACATTCGACAGATGTTGCTCTCTCTAACCCTGTTTCCTGATTAATGTGGCCAACACTGCTCCTCTTCCAGCTCATCTGGTGAGTGCTATTAAAGAATCATATATTTCAGGAATTACTGAATGAATTGAACAATATTCTCCATTTCAATATTGAAAGTCTTTCGTATATATGCCATCTTCTTTCCTCAAATGTTCATTGCCCACAAGAGGAAAAACCACTGTCTTCTACCTTATCTATTTTGAGAAAGGGGTCAGACTTTTGAGATGAAAGTAGACTATTTTTTTTTTGCCATTCCCCTTCTCTCCTCCTCTAGGCTCCAAAGCCAGGTTTCCTCAAAGATTTAAGTGTTTAGCGTCCTTTTAGTCCTGTGCACACACTCACAGGACAGTCTTAGATAGCAGCTGCCTTCAGATAGACTGCATCGGCTACCCATTCAATACCAGGGGCGCTTCCGTCACCATTTTCACGTGCACGTATGTTAAAATGTCTGCTTATCACTCCATCACACCGTGGGTTAAGACCCTGAGATTTAATAATATATTAGAGTTATTCTTGGGATCTCAACACACCTCGAAGGTCTCAAACAGGCAAGGAAACCAGAGCTAAATTCCATCACTGCTTTCTGAACATTAGGCAATTTTATTTTCATTGTGGTTTTACTTGCCTATTATTTTTAAGTGAAATTTCAAGCAGAAAAGCAAAGCCTGAGCTTTGGAAGAGAAGCACCCAGATCATCTGAATGTATTTTGTCTATAGCACCCACTTAGTAGTGTTTTGTCGCCGTCCTAAGTATGATTTTGAAACAGCTCACACGCAACTTAAAAAATAAATCCTCCCGTGTTAATTGAAGAACACCATGGAAGGATCTTCTGAAATAATGTCTAATACAACTTCCAATTGTTTATATCAGACATTGAAATAAATTATAAGGATTTTCTACTGCTAATTTATTTCCCATTTATGATGCTATTGGGGTTTGTTTGTTTGCTCATCAGTGTTTGGGATTTTGTTTGCTTTCTCTCATTTTATTATTAGCTGAATTTCCAAAGCACATACCAGTGTACAGTTGGGAAAGACAGAGCATTGCAGAAATAGGCAGGGGAATCCAGTGTGGGGCAGAAGTTTTGCTACAAGTAACCCATATATGGGTAACCTAGCTTACTGTCATTTCCCTCACCAGCTCCCACTGCCTGACCTGAACTGCCCTGGTTTTACATGTTCCCTTTTATTTCCCTTTTGAAGAAGACTGAAGTTTCTCAGTTCCCAGCCTACTAGAGCTGCTCTTCAAGAAGTTTACCTCATTTCCATGTACGGAAAAAAGAACAGTGTTTGTAGTAACAACTTCACTGTGTGGATTTTTTTGTTGTTGTTTTGTTTTTGTCTTCTTGTGTGACTTTGACAAGGTGCGTGGTCTGCCCTACCATGAAAAGTATGTGGGTCCCTGGGATCTCAAAAAAAAAAAAAAGACTTAGATAAGAAAAAGGTTTTTTTAATGATTTGCCCACTTTTGAAAAACTAATGGCATTTTTGTTTCTTATCCAGGTATACTGTGATGTCAGGAACACCTGAAAAAATTTTAGAGCATTTTCTAGAAACAATACGCCTTGAGGCAAGCTTAAATGAAGCAACAGGTATATACACAGAACAGTTTGCATGCCCATTAAATCAATGCATAACATTGTTTAAAAGTCCTGAGCTCATTCGCAGTGTGAATGAAAGCAGTTTTGGAAGAAGATTCTGTGTCTTTTCCTGACCCATGGTCCTAGAAATTTGATTTGAGGTTACATATTGGCTCTTGGAAGCTATCCTCACATAACTGGTTCTTCCACGGTTTCACCATCCTAAATATGGAGTAAGTAACCTTTCTCCAGCAAAGCTCTTATCATGTTCTTCTTGCTCAGACATCTTCAACCACTTTCCAGTACTTGGCTTTACATTTTTGTTTTTGCCCAACCTGGAGTGCAGTGGCATAATCAAAACTGCAAAAGCAGTTTTGGAAGGGAATTCTGTGTATTGATATTTGAAAAGCATCTCTGTGTAACCTGAAAGGGAACAGTCCTTCTGACTGTCCTCTTCCTTCTCCAATTGTGACTGCTCTCTAGAAATGACTCAGCCTCATTTATACATACTGTGACTTGTCTTCCCTAGGCATCTGTCTCTTAAGTTATCATTCAAATCCCACCTTCTATAGGCATCTATTGGGTTTATCATTTGCATCTTACCTATTCCCATGAAGGATTTGAAGCTGTCTACATAAAAGCTACAGCCTTGCTCCAATTGGGAGTAAGATGGTTCACTCTGCAGTTGTTGTAGAGTCTAGCTGTTCTAGAATGTAAGTAAATGCCACCGTTTGTTTTCTAGCGCTGCCCATACAAACTACCACAAAATGGGTAGCTCAAGCAACACAACTGTATTGTCTTACAGTTCCAGAGGCTAGAAGTCCTAGCTGAAGGTGATAGTTGGGTTGGTTCCTTTTGAGGGCTGTGAAGGAGAATCTGTTCCATGCCTGTCTCCTAGCCTCCTGTGGTTTGCAGGCTATCTTTGGCATCCTTTGGCTTGTAGATGCATCATCCGGATCTCTATCCTCATGTTCACATGGCATTCTCCCTGTGACTCTTCATGTAGCCTTCCCTCTATGCATGTCTGTCTCTGTGTCCAAGGTTACCCCTTTTTATAAGGATACTAGTCCTTATAAAGGATTATTGGATTAAGGCCCACATTAAGGCCCTCACCTGAACTTGACCACACCTGCAAAGACCCTGTTTCCAAAGGTAGTTATATTCTGAGATAGCAGAAGTTAGTACTTCAACATATCCTTTTGGGGGGATACAAGTCAGCACATAACATCTGCTTACAGCGAATCAGTCTTGTTACCTAGGACACAGATATTCTACGGTGAATAAAATCTCACCAGTGAACTGAGAATTCAGAGTTATAGAATTGTGTTCCACTTTTGTTACCATCTTGTATATGACTTTGAAATAGCCCACACATGCAACATGTTGTTTTTTTTTTTAAATCCTATGCTACTGCCTGTCTCTCAGAATAATGTCATGGGTTAATATTTTAAGCACATTGAGCTCCATAGAAGAGCATTTCTCACTAAAAGAAGTTCAGAGATTTACCTCAAAAACAGTTCAAAATCCATTTCCATAATTGACCTTTGCTATATGCTCAAGGTGAAGATATCATTATTATTATTATATGCCTCCTAAAGGCATTTTGCCACTGGGTTTCTTATTTTATCTCCTCATTCCATTTTCTTATTTTATACATAGATTACCTGAGGTTAGCAAATTAATTAGGGTACAGTAGTTATAATCGGCAGGATCACTGGCTCCAGGCCAATTATTCTCAGCTCAATATTTGTTGAATATCTTGTTGGGCAGACACTAAGATAGATGCTTTGGACTACCAATGTGAACAAGGAATCATCCTCCTGCCTTCAGGAAGTTTACAATCTGTTAGAAGACATAAAAGAATTTGCACATAACTTGAATATAAGGCAGAATGTGGTTAGTGTTTCAGGGGCACTGACTGGTTGAGGGATCTAGAGAAGCGTCATGAAGGCCAGGCGCGGTGGCTCCTGCCTGTAATCCCAGCACTTTGGGAGGCCGAGGTGGGCAGATCACGAGGTCAGGGATCAAGACCATCCTGGCCAACATGTTGAAACCCTGTTTCTACTAACAATACAAAAAGTAGTTGGGGTGGTGGTGCACACCTGTAGTCCCAGTATTCGGGAGGCTGAGGCAGGAGAATCGCTTGAAGCCAGGTAGCAGAGACTGCAGTAAGCCAAGATTGCGCCACTGCGCTCCAGCCTGGCAAAAGAGCAAGACTCGGTCTAAAAAAAAAAAAAAAAAAAAAAAAGAGAAGAAAAAAGAAAGAAAAGTATCATGCAAAATGTAGAGTGGCCCTGAAAATATAGAGTGGAGGAGGCTGGTAACCAGTAACTAGACATGGGGACAAAGCCTTCCACACTAAGGGACAATATTAGCTCTGACCTAGAAATAGACAGGAAAGAGTGAGTGGTCTGATCTTTGCTGGATTGTTGTATGCGTAAGCTGGAAAAGGAAGGAAAGGTTTAAGAATTGGGATATAGATCTTAGAGAGTCTTAAGTGTAAAGCCAGGTGGTTGCAGTGGCTCATGCCTGTAATCCCAGCACTTTGGGGACCACGGCGGGAGGATCACTGGAGCCCAGGAGTTTGAGACTACAGTGAGCTGTGATCATGCCACTGCACTCCAGCTTGGGCAACGACAAGAAAAAAGTAAAGTCAAGCATTGGGAAGTGGTTGACGATGTCTGAGCAAGAAGAACATGGTAAGAGCTTTACTGAAGAAAGGTTACTGCATATCTAGGCTGGAGAAGCCATTGAAGAACCAGTTATGTGAGGATAGCTTCCAAGAGCTGTATGTAACCTCAAATAAACCAAATTTCCAGGACCATGGGGCAGGAAAAATATGTCGCTGATTTTTTTCCCTCTGATTCTGGTACACTAGAGATGATGACATCTAAGGAAGGAGCTATGAGATCTTTATACTACCCATGAAGGAAGAGTATAGCCTTTCTTTCAAGTCACCTCTAAAAGAGATGGGGATTGGATTATTGCTGCAGCTTCTGCTTCTTTTGTTTAGTTTTTTGTTTTGTTTTTTGTTTTTTGGGGTTTTTTTGTTTTGTTTTTTTTTAATTAATGTTCCTTGCAGAGCAGGGCTAACCCATAGACCATGTGTCCCGAGTAGCTTGCTTATTTCTTCTTCATCAAAAAAACTGAAGCTTAGAAGTCAGGGTACTCTAAGGTTGGCATGTGGGATATAATTCTTGACCCTTCCATTTTGATGGTAGAGACTAGGCTAGCATCATAATTTAACATTGAACTTTATTCCCTTCAGGTTTTCCTGATTTTTTTTTTCTTACAAGCAATGTTTATATCTTTGGAGATAAAGAGCAAATTAGTATCTTTCTCATAAATCAAAAATACAAATGTGCCCCCCTACTAGCCTGGACACTAAATAATCATAGGGTAGGTCCAGGACATTTGTGGATATACTGGAGTGGGAGACCCTTGGCATTTATGGATTTACAATACAGTAAGAAAAGTCAGAGTTACCCTGAAACTTGCTTACATTATAAAAATGCACACTGCTGAATTTGACACTATACTCTCTTAATTTCCCAAAAATCTGTTTTCTACCTGAAACCCATTAGTTCTTAGATTTTTACTTTTAAAACCAGCATTAGTCATTGAGTGACTTGGTAAATCATTTTCTAGTAGAAAATGATTTTTTTTAATTCATTCTTAAGCAAATTTTAACTCTATAAATTAGACTTCCAGTATTCATGTTTTTGATGAACTTACATTGGCAAAGTTTGAAGCAGTGACTAAATGTTTAACCATTATTCTCATTTAAATATGAGTGATGAGTGTAATCCCAAGCTGTCATCACTCAGTGTCACCAGTCACCTTCAGTCTCATTATACTGAGAAGAAGCAGAGAAGGTGCCAGACGGAATTGCTACGTATGAGGAGAGAGCAGGAAAGCCATGCTGAGGTGGGAGCTGAGTGGTTGGCCATGTTAACTGACCACTTCTCCAGCCTTGGAGCACACAAGTCAAGTCTCTGCTTTAGCAAACTTCAAACTACTAGATACCATAGCCTCCTGGGTTCATATAAGCAAGTATTACCTCCTCTATTCTCAGAGAATATATAAAACATATCAAGATGGCACTAGATGTTAAGCTCAGGCAAGCCAAAGTCCTTTGGTATATTAAAAAAAAATGGTTTCCTGTAGCCTCTATCTGGCACCTTCTCTGAGTCTTCTCTGGCTCAGTATACATAATGTGACTGAAGACCTGGTGACACTGAGTAGTGACAGCTTGGGATTACACTCATCAGTTACATTTAAATGAGTGTAATGGTTAAACCTTTAGTCACTGACTCAGACTTCACCAATAAAAGTTCATTAAAAACATGGGCCACATTTGGCAATCTAATTTATAGCTTTCAAATGTACATATTTCTCACTATTTTCTATTTAAGATGAGCATCACAATCTCAGCCAGTGTATTTCATGTTTTCCCTGGAAATGTCCTTGGCATCTTGGGTTCCAAGTTCTGATAGGTGTAGTCCTGAGGTTTTTAGTTTTGCATTCATGAGCTTTTCCATCTAGCTAGCTAGAGTGTGTTGTCTGCAATGAAGAACCAGCATCAAATTCAATGACAAAGTAAATGAAGCTTATTTGGGGGGCCTGCCTTACTTCCCTTGCCAAACCCTGCTTCCCTTCCTACAAAATAGCTTCACATATAGGACAGTCCACCAGCTTCTATTTTGCTCACAGCCTTTATCTTGTTTTCTCTTTCTTTCTTTCCTTCCTTCCTTCTTTCATCCCTCCCTCCCTCTTTCCTTCTTTCTTTCTTTCTTTTTTCTTTTCTTCCTTCCTTCCTTCTTTCTTTTTGCTGCTTTTTCTCCCCTCACCAATTCTCTGCTCTTACCACCTCCTGATTCTGTAATTCTATTGGCTGCCTCCCCCACCACCCCACTCACCCTTCATTGCTCCTTCTGGAAATAGGAGGTGAAACAGAGATGAAAGAGAAAGAATTTTGAAAAAACAAATATGATATAGACAAAGAAATGACCTTGTGTTAGTTCTGCATGCATGGTACTGCCCATATGTGACCCTTTAAGTATACAGATTTCAAAATTTTTGGTGGCTAAAGTACCTAGTGCCATTTGTACAAGGCTATCTCTTTTTAAAGTATTATACTTTTTGTCCCTTGTCCTAAGAAACTGATTTTGATCTCAGTCTCTGTCAACACCATTATTTATATGAAGTGTTTTCGTGTAACATAAACTCATACCCCAAACCAATGTCTTAGAACCAATGGCCAAGAACAGGTGAATAGATACTCCTGCTTTCCTAAAGATTTCCACAATAACCTAATTTCCTTTTCTGTTTTTCCCCCTTCCAGATTCTGTTTTAAATGACTTTATTATGATGCACTGTGTTTTTATGCCAAATACCCAGCTTTGCCCAGCCCTGGTGGCCCAATATCCTTTTATGGTGATTGTAAGTCCCTATTCTCTTGAAGACAACCCCACCTGTCTAGGGCCGTTCTCTCATCTCATCTTCTGAAGGTAAGTCATGGCCCAGGTGGAGCTGTGCACTCCTCCCTCATCACACTGAAATGTGTTTTCCCCTGTACAGACTCTAGCTCTGCCTGGCAGAGGTTTGCTATGCCATGTTTAAGGATTTCCTCCTTGTTACCTGTATGAGGCCATTCTTTCATTGCTATAAAGAAATAACTGGCTGGGCATGGTGGCTCATGCCTGTAATCCCAGCACTTTAGGAGGCCAAGGTGGGTGGATTACCTGAGGTCAGGAGTTCAGGACCGGCCTGGACAACATGGTAAAACCTTGTCTCTACTAAAAACTACAAAAAATTAGCTGGGTATGGTGGCAGGTGCCTGTAATCCCAGCTACTCAGGAGGCTGAGGCAGGAGAATGGCTTGAATTCAAGAGGTGGAGGTTGCAGTGAGCTGAGATTGCGCCATTATACTCCAGCCTGGGTGACAAGAGCAAAACTCCATCTCAAAAAAAACAAAAGCAAAACATAAAACCTGAGTCTGGGTAATTTATAAGAAAAGAAGTTTATTGGCTTGTAGTTCCGCAGGTTGCCTAGGAAGCATCATACCAGCCTCTGCTTCTGGGGAGGCTGGGGAAACTTGTAATTGTGGCCGAAGGTGAAGAGGGAGCAGGAGTGAGGTAGGGGAGGTGCCACATACTTGTAAACGACCAGATCTCATGAGAACTTACTATCTCGAGGACTGCACCAAGACATGAGGGATCCACCCCCATGACCCAAACACCTCCTGCCAGGCCCACCTCCAACACTGAGGATTACATTTCAACATGAGACTTGGGCGGGAACAAAGATCCAAACTGTATCATTACCCATGCAGAGAAGTGTGAACCAGCTTACCACAGGAAGGTGACGCTGGCAAAAAAGTATCCATACCTGGGAGGCAGGCTAGAGAGGGTTGTGGAGAAGAAGCCGGGAGTAATAGCAGGCATAGTTCCCTAACCTCGGAGACAGATTGTGTCCCTGTCAGGCTCCCTGGCAGGATGGACTGTGTTCGGCTTGTGTTCCTCCTCAGAGCTACAGCATTAAATTGCCAACCTGCTGAGAAAATACAAGTTATCACCGTAGGGTCATTTTCTTTTCTCATTCATCCTAGACCATCCTCTCCTCTAGATACCAACATTTCTTTCTTTGTTGATACTTTTTATGATCATCTTATGGACTTAAAGACCCAACATTTGAAATTCCAGTGACGGTTCCTCTCAATAGCTTGAAGGCCATGTGTGTTTGAGACAGTTTTTCAACAGTCTTTGGAAAGGCCCAGTTGATGCTGGTATGTGGCACAGAGTGAACATTCTCAGAAAATGTGAGTGGGATAAAAGAAGTCATGAATGAGCTTCACGCTCAATTTCAGGAGCGTATGAAAGTATATGCTAAGATTTTATTTTATTTTTAGAGCAACAAAAATTTAGACCTCAAAGCACTTTAGCCCTTTTGAGCAGTTAAATATATTGAAGGAGAATGTTTTTTTTTTTCTTTAAGCAATTCAGTGAATGCTGGCATGATTTCCTCGTTCAAGATTATAATTGCCCTACCTGATTCTCATTTTCTTGTTCACTCATAATTCTATTTGAAGTAAACAATGTATGAGGACAGGAGATGTGAGTTGAAGATGCAACTCAGAGTGAGCTGCAAGAGGGAGATTTCTGTGTTTATTTGCCTGGAAACTGTCTTACCAAGTGATGATGGCTTAATGAGACTTACATGTATTATACATTTTTTCTGGCACATACTCAATTTTTCTCAATTAAAATGAACATATTCGGGATCTCTTTGTGTGCTTTTAACTCCATACCCACTAATCATTATAGACCTTTGAGATTTCCTAGAAGGAAAAATAAAATCCACCATTGAGTTTAGACTTACTTTTTTCAGCAGTTAGCAGGTCGTTAAGCCTAAGGCAAACAAAACCCAAAGACAGGTCAGGGAGTTCAGTGGGCCAACGCGGGGCATCTTGACAACTCTAAGCGCCAAATTCTGAGCTTGTCCTTTTTTTTTCAGATTCTAACTTCTTCGTTTATTAGCTTGTTCCCCTTCAAGAGGTGATTGAGAACATTCAAATCACTAACTTCTTTTCAAAATAGTGCTCTGGAGAAAAGGTTCGTTCCATGCCCAGGTAGGGAAGAGTGGGGAAAATGATATTGACAGGGAGTTAGAGGGGAAGGCAAGAAAGCAAACAGGTGTGGAAGAGCTGTGACATGAAATCTGACTTCTTTTTTTCTGTAGATGGGGGAAACCGGGATGACTGGGTATAATCTATACTACCTAGGGCCGTCAGATCCCCTCCCTCTTACCTGGCCCTGTGGGAACTTAGATTCTCTTCACTGTTCTATTTTGAATCAGCTCTCTCTGTGACAGGTGCATGCTAAGAGTATTGATCAATATTATACCACTCTATCCTGACATGATTCTGTTGGGTTAGTATTAGCTTTGTGTTACAAATGAGGGTTCTGAAATTACCCTCACCCCCCACAAAAAACAAAAACGGAGTGGCTTGCCCAGGGCAAGGAGCTGAGTCCTCCAGGTCATCCAAACCTGGAGTTTGCCTTTTATTTTCTCTTCACAACTTATTTATTTAAAAGCTTGTTTAAATTTTAATGATTCTGTATCCTTTAATTAGAGTTTAAGAACATTCTGAGACACTATATTGCATCATAAATTGCTTAACACACACCTGCAAGCAACAGGGATGTATAATGCAAACTTAAACAAGTGGTTTAACCCCTATGTTTTTAACGTGGGATATTAGGGATAGTAAAATGCTTAACCATGTTTCATTAGTCAGTTGCTTTGGTCGAGCATTTTTAAAGTACTTGACATCTGGAACTTTTCATAGCAGCCCTATGAAGAAATCAGTATTTTTACTGCCATTTTTCTAAATCGATAAACTAGAATAATGAAAAATTATGAGTTTCTCAGAGAAAGGTAATTACTAGCACAGAAAAGATTTGAGCCCTGAGCTACTGACATGTATTTCTGTTCTTAATCCACATTGTGTGTCTTCCAATTTTGATTTTACCATGGAGAAAGATAGAACTCTGCTGAACATTAATATATCAGGCCTTTTATGTGCTAATAAGAGAGACTCTCTATTGATTAGACATAGTTTGGACATGATTTGACCCGATGAATACAAGTGCTTTATAATGAGTTTGAAAATCATATTTGTTCAATTTCTATACTTTTCATCTCCAGATTCTTTAATCTTTTTTAAAATCTGCATTTAAAATTGAGTTCAGTTTTCCTTTAGTCTTTGAAAGAAAATTAAAACCACCTGCATATAACCCTATACCTCTCAGGTGTACTATTGCTAATCTTTTTGTGTGTATCCTTCTAGTCTTTTTTCTATACATATAGATATACGTTTTTAAATGTAAGAATGGGATCATACTGTAAATAATTGTGTATGCCTTTTCATTAAGCAATATTTTGTGAATATCTTTCTATGCCATTATTTTTCTAAATATAGTTAGCTTGCATCCTTAAAAATAAAACATTCTCATTGCAAAATATTTTAATTACTGGAAAAGGAGAAGAGAGCAAAGCTCATCTGGTATCTCACCACCATTAATAAATTTGTTTTTAAAATTTTAGAATTTATATATTTTTTATGTACATAAGATTTTATATAAATTAAATAATGTTACAGGTGCTTTTTGGTAATCTGCTATTTTTCACTTAATGATATGTTGTGAATATCTTTCCAAACTAATATATAGAGAGATAAAACGACATCATCTTTTTTTTTCTTCCAGATAATTTCATAAACATTTATTAACTACTGGAAATGTGTCACAGAGTACTGGTCAACAAGGGGGCAAAGATATGTAAGAAAGACACATTATTATTTTTAATGACTGTATAATATTATATGGTATTACTAGATATGGCATAATTATTTTCTAAGCCTCTTCCTGTTGGATATTTAGAATATTTAGGCATTTAGATTTTTTTTTTTAAACAAACACAATGGGGTGAATCAGCATCCTTCCAGTTAAATCTTTGCCCACGTATATGAAAATGTACTCACTTTAAATTCCTAAAAATAGGCAAAGACTATGTAGTATGTTAATGCTTCTGATGCGTATTCCCAAATTGCTCTCCTATTGTCTTAATTTTGTGCTTTATGATTAAACTCTGCCATATTCTTCTTTGTACAGCTACTGGCTGGCCTTCAGTTTAGTAAGTGATCACAACGAAGATAATACTACTTTGAATTTTAACAACTTTTTGATCCAGAGTATTTTCACATCATTTACTTTATCTTTCCAACACCAGTTCTCCAAACGTGAATCAAAAAAGTCTGGTATATTATTTATTTCATTTCACATATAGGAGAAATCAAAGTACAGAGATGTCTAATAATCACCTAAGATTCTGCATGTACTGGTAGACATTTGGAGGAGGTCCGTGTAGCACTGATGTGATAGTGGTCTGCAGTGGACATTGTGGTTGATTCGCCAACATTCATGCCTTATTACTCAATCATTCTAGCCACTCGTAGTAATTAGCTGCCCTTGCCAACAACTGGTTCTCCAACGCCAGACCCAAGCTAGACTGGGCCAGTAGAATTCAAAGAGAGGCCTCCTGGGCTTCTGGGTAAAAACCTTTTTAACATTTAGGAGGAAAAAACAGGAAGCCTGTAACCCCAATTGCCAGCAGTAGCTATCTTACAACCATGATGGGACTGAACCCCAGGATAAAGCTGAAATGAGCAGGCAGTCAGGAAAAACTGAGGTCTGTGATAACATCATTAGCACTTGACTGGTCCTGAAGCTTACTCTGCCAATAGATTTTTTTTTAAGTCAGTGAATATAGGTATTTGTTATTTAGGACAGATTCTTACTGCAGCTAAAAGAATCAAGTGATAAATGGCTTATATTTAAACTTACAGAAATTTTAAAACAGCAATAATTTTGGACAGATTTTTTTATTAGTATACTAATTTTCTTTAGCTTAGTATTCAACACAAATTTTGTGCTTTTGGCACGGAAATCATGTGTTTAGTTTCCTGAAATAAGAAGAAAAAAATCTAGAACATGGATTTGACACTAAGTTTTAGCTAAATCTACCTTTTCTGTGTTTCATCCCTGTACGGAAGCAAACGCAACAGATTCCCTTACTGAAAAATCAGGGTTCCTGTCATAAAAATATTTGTGGGCCAGGCGCAGTGGCTCATGCCTGTAATCCCAGCACTTTGGGAGGCTGAGGTGGGCAGATCACAAGGTCAAGAGATCGAGACCATCCTGGCCAACAAGGTGAAATCTTGTCTCTACTAAAAATACAAAAAAATTAGCTGGGCGTGGTGGTGCTCGGGAGGCTGAGGCAGGAGAATCACTTGAACCTGGGAGGCAGAGGTTGTAGTGCGCCAAGATCACGCCACTGCACTCCAGCCTGGCAACAAAGCTAGCCTTCGTCTCAAAAAGAAAATAAAAATAAAAAAACTTTGTGAAATTGTGAAATTTACCTGGAGATGTTCTCTGTATAAGTCAATTTGGGTTTTGTAAGTGGAACATTTATCAAAATCTGCTTTTCTTTTTGATGAAAGATTTACATAATAGCAGCAGGTTCATATTCTTTAAATGAAGCCAAGTTTTGAGGAACATTCTTTAGATTTCTAAGAAAAACTTTCAACTGAAATATGTTGAAGCCAGATTTTGTCATCATAGTCCCCATTTGATTCTCTAAAGTGTTTGATCCATATGTCACCATCAGAGCAATTTGCTTCTGCTGATATGCAACTTGAGAGTTTGTTTCCAATAAAGAAGATTTTGTTTGGTAATGTTATGAACATGATATGCTCCCTGGGAAAAAATGACTGTCTTATCAGATATGCTACAAAATATTCATATACGTGTTCTCAGCCTCATATCAACACCATGTACTCTTTTATCCTGTTTTTTACAACAGGGAAAGTGAGTTTGAGCAACTAAATAATTTTCCTCAAGTGACATAGCTAGTAAGTGTTAGAACAAGATTTGAACTCAAGCAGTGTATTGCATTAGGGCACGTGCTAACCGCTGTGCAATGAGTACAAGCCCTTAGCTTTAGACTTAGAAGGAGAATAATCAAGAGGTTGAGACTTCTAAAAACATGGAGAATTCTGAAAATCAGTGTGAAAAATATTCTGAGCAAGGAAATGAGAGATATGTTAAGAAATTGATGGTACAGAAGTTGGTCCTGTGAGCCCAAAGTTAATAAGTACACACAAACAAAGGAGCAGCCTGTGTGGATAGGAGTAGCATCACAGACTTAAAACCAGAAATGCCAGGTCTTATGAAAAATTCTACAACTCTACATTGAAAATATTTTAAATGACTTCCAGAGGAGAATCAGTAATAACATTGATGGCTAAGATTTACTGAGTACTTAATATGTTTTAGATCCATGTTTTACCTATTTTATCTCATTTCATCCTTAACAGCAATCCTCTGAATTTTACTGATGAGGAAACCGAGGCTCTAAATAGTCAATTAACTTACAAAAGATGATACAGTTTTTATGTAAGTGGGGAAGCCAGGATGGGACCTAAGTAGTGTAATTTCAGAACTTGCATTTTATGAACATACCATATGAAGAAAGAAATAGACCCAGTGGTCAGAATGTCAAGCTGCTCCACAAAGACAAGAAGCCCAGATTATAGTAAAAAAAAGCCAAAGCTCTGAAGTAAAAAGACCTGTGTTTAAGACCTGTGTCCTATAAGCTATATTACTCAGAAATTATGCTTAACCTCTCCAAGTGCCTTCTGTAAAATAGGGGTAATTATATGATGTGGTCTGGGGCTCTATGTCTTCACCCAAATCTCATCTTGAATTGTAATGCTAATTGTTGGGGGTGGGACTATGTGGGAGGTGATTAGATCATGGGGGGTGGACCCCCCCATACTGTTCTTATGATAGTGAGTGAGTTCTCATAGGATCTGATGGTTTTATAAGGGGCATTTCCCACCTTCACTGGACACTTCTTCTTGGCACCATGTGAAGAAGGACATGACTGCTTCCCTTTCCACCATGATTGTAAGTTTCCTGAGGCCTCTCCAGCCCTGCAAAACTGTGAGTCAATTAACCTCTTTCCTTTGTAAATTACCTAGTCTTGAGCAGTTCTTTACAACAGCGTGAGAATGGACTAATACATTATACTTGCCCTACCCACTTTACCAGGTCATTGTGAAAATCAAATGAGGTTATGTGTGTGAAGATACATTATAAACCTTAAAGCCCCATATAAATGTTGCTATTGTTATTATACCATCAGGAAAGGAATATGGCATATTATAAAGAATATACAAAAGCTTTGTCTTGTCAGTGGGCAGATGACCCCCAAAGTTTGTTTTCAGCTGCAAGCAGAGATCTTGTATGCAAAGCAGGGTTTTAAAAAACAACAACATTTAAGAGTATCAGTTTGAATGTTGTTAAGTGTTTTATAAATAGCTGCATAATTAGCATGTACTTACTGCAAAAAGTATACATAATATTTTATTCCCTGTTGTAGGCTGTAATGAATCTGCTGCCTCTACATCCTGGGAGGTTTTCACTTACTTTCCCCATGATAATTTTAATACATGGAACCATTATTAGCTGAATTAAAAATAAGTAAATGAGCGGAAAAAAAAAAAAGTACAGAAAAATTACAGGTGCCTGTGGTGAGTAAGATAATAACTAGGTAAAAATATATGAAATAATTACAGTGTTTGAACGGCAGAACCGGCATGAGGAAAATGACTCAATGGAATATTAAGCCTGCTGTTGGTAGGGTAGAAAAACTGTAGCCTACACTGTGACCTTCACCTCTTCTGATTCTCAGCCCTAAAACCTCACTGAAAACAGATCCAATCTGCTCTCAGTCACATGTATGCAATGCTGAAGGAGGTGGTTCAGTTCAGTGAAGATTTAGTCACTCTGAAAGTTTGTCATCCTGTAGATTGAATACCCAATAACGGAAAGATTATATTTAAAAGATGTACCAGATGTTTTAGAATTAAATTCTTTATGAACTTAATTTAGAATGTACCTCTGATCTGTATTTGACATCTTGACAAAATGGTATTCCAGGTAATTTAGATAAAGTCTCTTAAATAGCTGTGATATTTTTAAAGGTTTTTTTTTTTTTTTTTTAAGAAAAGCGCATTAGATAATATGGCATTCCAAACAGTATGATTAAATTGTTTGTAATCAGTCGATCAACAAACGTTGAAGGTTTTTGTGTGCCCGGTCCTTAGCTAGAAAGTGCAGAGATTCACAGTGAGTTTACGACATGGTTCCTGCTGCTAAGGATTCTGATTTAATATTCCCAGATGGTGAGAGATACTTTATAACAGGTTAAGTATTCATAATCTGAAAATCCAAAATGCTCCAAAATTTGAAATTTTTTGAGTTCTAACATGATGCTCAAAGGAAACGCTCACTGAAGCATTCTGAATTCCAGATTTTCAGATTAGGTCTGCTGAACCAGTAGATACGATGCAAAGATTCCAAAATCCAAAAAAGTCTGAAATCCAAAAACACTTCTGGTCCCATGCCTTTGGGAAAAGAGATACTCAACTGTGTAAGCGAAAACTCAAGTTCAAATTTTAATGATCAGATTTAACAATGTCTGCTCAGCATTGAGCCACTGCTTTCCTAATTGACAGACACTAAACTATAGCAGAGGGGTATCCCGTTCAGGCATTAACAATGTCTGTGCCTCTCTATCAGATTATGAAGGCTGCAGCAGCTAACTCTTGATGTTGTGCATGTGCTTTGTTCTGAGGATTTGGGGGATCAATTTATACATCTCAGATGGATTTTCCTGTTTCCCAACAAACTTCGAAATCATCTGACTGCTGTATAATCTATGTTTGAGTAACGAAAGTAATTTTAATATCAGACAAAACACAATAACACAGACAGG